AGCCTAGGCAGAAAAGTCCCCATGAGACTCATATTTCCAATTAACTACTCAAAAGAAAACCAAAAGTGGCACTGTGAGTCAAGTGGTAAGGTGCTATGTTGGAAATGAACTTTACAACTTGGGGAGGGGTGGAGAAGAAAAGTGGGAGGAAAACAAAAGAGGGGTAATGCCTGACAAGAAATATACTCATTTTCCCCAATCTATTTCAACAAACAATTCTATTAGCTTCCTGGGGACAGTTTAAAAGAGAAAATCTGCTTGCTGTATAAGAAAGTCTATCATTTTTTTTTTTTTTTTGGTCAGTTGTGGGAATTGAACTGGGCCTGGGCACTGTCCCTCAGCTCTTCAGCTCAAGGGTAGCGCTCTACCACTTGAGCCACAGCACTACTTCTGGCTTTTCTGTTTATGTGGTGCTGAGGAATTGAACCCAGGGCCTCATGAATGCAAGGCAAGGGCTCTACCACTGAGCCACCTTCCCAGCCCACGAAAGTCTATCATTTTGAAGTTAGTTTTATGGTTTCTTTACCAGGCTGGTGCCAGTCCTGAGGCCTGAGAGCTATCCCTGAGCTTTTTTGCTCAAAGTTAGAACTCTAACAGTTGAGCCACAGCTCCATTTCTGGCTTTCTGGTGGTTAACTGAAGGTTTGAGTTTCACAGACATTCCTACCCTGGCTGATTTTTAAACTGGATGTTCAGATCGCAATCTCCTGAGTAGCTGACAGGTGTGAGTCACTGGTACTTGGCTTTAGTTAAAAAAATAAAAACTGGTATGCTGATCTTATCTAACTTATAAAAAGAAAATCATAACCAAACAAGATACAAGTCCTTTGTATAGTATCCCTTCCCAGTATACTTACAAAAATATAATTAGCAATTTTAACAGGGCAAAGATTATTTACATGGTGATTATAACCTCTAAAATTAATTCTAAAAACCACCAATTTAATTTACTTTTTATGCTGTCACCCAACTATCTATTCTGGATGTCACTGCACAAAAACTAAACTAATATTTTGTTATGATTCTAGACTAACGTATTATTCTATGTAGGTTGCAGAGGTAAAAAACAAGCAAAAACAATACAATTTCAGCCCTTATCAGTTACTGCATTCATGTCATAATATTACATTAAATTTCAATAGACTGGTAGTTAAACCTATCTGGTCAAGGCACTAATATATTGAAAATACATACTTTTGAAAGAAAATATCACCAAAATAAATACATAGAAAATCACTTCCAAAGGATTACATTTCTACAGTAAAAATTTGAGTAATGTTACATCTCAAAATTCATTTCAAAGTCTGAACCCTTCTGAAACCTATCTGTATATAAAACTAGAAAATTCAATAATCTATTTTGAACAAGATATGCAAACTTCAAATGCCAAAATCCTATTATTCTAATCACAAGAATCCTGTGTTTGAAATAATCTTACATTTACACAAATAAAATATAAAAATGTTACCATTTTCTTTCAGAATGCTTAAGTGGAAAGATTACATTAAAACCACCAAAAAAAGCAAATAACTAAATTTAATTTTGCTGAACCAAACTAAAAACTGTATAATACATGTTATGTATACTTAGTAAAAATGCCTATTCTTTGTTATATAAACCAAGTTAGAAAAAGGTATAGAAGTGGAGTATTAAGATTATGTGAAACTACACTGTCCAAAAAGAAATGTACTCATTACTTGACTTATGTAACTGTAACTACTCTGTACATCACCTTTATAACAACATTTTTTTTTAAAAGAGTATATGAAATGGAATACCAGTGGTTCATCCCTATAATCCTAGCTACTTAGGAGACTAAGGCAGGGAAGTTCATGGTTAGAAGCCAACCCAGAAAAATGCTGGGCTGGAGGCTTAGCTCAGTAGAGTACGCCCAGGTATGAGTAAAAAGCTGTAACAGAACACGGCACTGATTTGAAGCCCTGTAAGTGCTCCCCACTCCATCCTCACAAGACTATCTGAATTTTAAAAACTTTGATAAACTGGTAAATTTTACATTTCTACATATTTTTAACACCAATGTCTTATAATAGTGATTTTAGTACCTTTCTTTACATATTTATCCTTCTATTGTTCTTTAAGTTAGCTTTAATGCTTGGACATCTACTAATTACTTTTCTATAGGAAAAAAAAGGAAATTCTTTTGGAATGTTAATTTCCTTACCTCACAAGAATTTATTTTTTCCTTTTGTGTGGGTGTTAGAGCTTCAATCTAGTGCCTGGGCACTGTCCATTAGCATTTTTGCTTAAGGCTAGCACTCTACTATCTGAGCCCACAGCTCCACTACCCACTTTTTGGTCGTTAATTGGATATAAGAATCTCATGACTTTCCTTCCAGGGCTGGTTTCAAACTACCATTGTCAGATCTCAGCCTCCAGAGTAGCAAGGACTACTAGCTAGGTATAAGCCATTGGTCCCTAGTTAAGAATTTAACATTTTAAAAAATTAACTAGAGGGCTGGGAAGATGGCTCAGTGGTAGAGTGCTTGCCTTGCATGCTTGAGGCCCTGGGTTCAATTCTTCAATACCAAGTATGTAGAAAAACCCAGAAGTGGTGCTGAAGAGCTGAGAGACAGTACCCAGGCCCCACAGTTCACGCCCCACAACTGATAAAAAAATTTTTTAATAAAATAAACTTAACTAAAAATGATTAAGAACTTGAAAATGATTATTAAGTATGAAGAAGTATCAGGAAATAAAATTAAATCTATTATAAAATTTGGAAATTATTTTAGATTTAAAGTCTAACATAAATATGTTTCCTCATATCTCTCAAAGAAAATTTTCTGTATCTTCAATATGTACTTCTAAGCTTCTAAGCTTCATAAAGACAGAGGGAAGGGAAACATAGTATATCTAACAGTTGCTTCATCTTTCCCAAGTTTAATCTTTCTGTACAGTTTTAAAACTGTTAATTTATATAATAAACCCTGGGAAATACAAGTACAAATATTACTCTAAAATTAAGAATATATAAAAACAAGAATGAAGGTATGTATATAGGAAAATATATACACTTACACACAAAACAAGTGTTAGTATATTTCTACTACATCACATGTAGTTAAGATGAACAAATATACACAAATATACACTTATGTTAAACAAAATAAAGCAAAATTATATTAATTCAAATATAAGCAGCACCAAAGCATACAATAAATAGAAATCATATTATTTCACTAAAGGAACTGTAATAAAGACCTTGTTGATAGTACTGTATTTACTTTTCAGCCTCACAATTAAAGGGCAATATAAAGACATAGAAAAACAGTTAAAGTTAAAAAATAAGTGGAAGCTTTTAACATAATAAATGAAGAAAGAATACAAGATTTAGGATGGGCTATAGTTTAGGGGAAAGTTTAAGGGTCATGAAATATTATCATGTTAAATATCTAAAGGTTAATTTTTTAATTGTATTAAATTAGATAAACTTTTTCCTAGAATAAACCAAAGATTAAAGAATATTTTTGGATTTTTGTTGTTGTTGTTTTGTTGGTCATGGAGCTTGAACTTTGGGCTTGGGAGCTATCCCTCAGCACTTCAGCTCAAGGCTAATGCTCTACCACTTGAGCAACAGCGCCACTTCTGGCTTTTTCTGTTTATGTGGTGCTGAGGAACTGAACCCAGGGCCTCATGCATATGAGGCAACACTATACCACTGAGCCACCTTCCCAGCCCTAAAGAATATTTTATAAGATAGAATTTCTTATGTATTCTTTATTCACTGCAAAGAAAAATATTTAACTAGGATAAACAAAAGCTTTGTTTGAAGGCAGGTATGAATTACAAGACCAAAATAAAGTACATATTATTTCTAAAAATTTTTTTTTCCCCAGGGCTGAGGGCCGAACCCAGGGCCTTGTGCGTGCTGGGCGGGCGTCCTTCCACTGGGCTAAACCCCCAGCCCCATTATTTCTAAAATTTTAAGGGAAAGACATAATACAATCTAGAAAACTATTCAGCACTGGGGATGGAGCCCAGTAGTAAGAGTGTTTGCCTAGCATGTGTGAGGGCTAGGTTTAATCAATCCCCAGCACACAAGAAAACAAAGAAAACTATTCAGTGAAAGGAATATAGTTAAATCTAAAGAAAAAAAATTAGAACTAAGAGAAATATAGTACTATATAGAACAAACATTCTTATTATCAATACTAATCAACTGTCCAAAAAATTTTATCCATATTATTTTTTATATTAGAATTATACATTAAATTGAATAAAAAGAAATGAAAATTATCATAATCATCTGAAATGTTTTTTTTCTAAATATACAGTTATTTGCTTTTGTATTCTTCCAACTAGCAAGTGTATAGGAGGATTGAGATGGCTTGAGAAGGGTAATGAACATGTCTATACTATGTGATAAATACATACACTTATGTGTATTTTAAAGAAAACTTCCATGGTTACTAATAATTCTACTAATATTTGCTGAAGAATTTTATTTGAACATGCTAATTATGTCTTAGAAGTAATTTTGTCACACTGATAAACTAGATAAAATGTAATTTACTTGTATATGAATAGGAGAATAAGTAACTCTCCTATGACAAGCTGGTATTTCTTAAGTATTTGAAGGTAGTGAGGGTAAATATTAAAAGTTTTAAAAAAGCTATTTAAAACCTATTCCATTACATTTACAAAAGATGTAAAATTAGTTTAAAATCCAATTTTAGACAAGATCTTAATCCCTAACATTCTGTTACTCATAATGATCAGAGGTATTGCCACAAAAGATTATAAAAACATTTAAAATACAATTTTTATATATTTTTTATTTATACTTTAGAATTTAAAGAACTTGTTGGGAACATCTTTGTGAGGCTTCATTGTCTTCTTTTACTTCAAACTATTTTAACTTCAAAGCAGGCTCACTAAATTTTTTTTCAAGAACAAGCAACAGATGTTAACTGAGAATAGCCACCTTAATGGTTATTTGTGACACAGACTTGATTATGTGAGCCTAGAGCGCCTCCCCACCTCTGACTCCCCTGTGGAGGGGTGAGTCTTTGTGTGCTTTTCTGTGTTGGTTCCACTGAGTTCATTACAATAGAGATGGACATTTGATATTCATAACGATCCAGCATCTGAGCAATCTTCTTTCGAGAAACACCATGTTTATTCCTCCTACCAAAACAGAAAAAGATTTTGAATCTTTTTTTTTTCAGAATATATTAGGCTTAGAGCTTAAATGTATTTTAGAGTAATATTACATAGATTATAAATATTTGACAAATAAACATTAGAAGGTATAATTTGTTTATTCACATTTTACACAAAAAGATTCATATTAGCTGTTGCACAGAAAATATTTTTTACATCCTTTACGTGCAATTATTTACTAGTATATCCCCTTTTAAATAACAAAACCAAAGATTTAAAAAAAATTAAAAGACTGAATTACACAATTTAGAATTGCAGAAGAATTTAGGATAGACTTCAAAGACTTACAATGCAAAACAGTATATCATTTATTAAGTTATTTTAGAATGGTTCCTATCACATTTTTAAAATGTATTATTTTATTGGTAACACATTACTAAAGAGAACAATTTGGCATATCTCAGGAACAAATATTGAATGAAATAAACATGTAACAGGCTCTAATCAGTACAGCATTTGCCCACAATATCTGAGTTTAGTACCCAGTACTACAAAAAATTAAAAATAAATTTTGAAAAATTGGCAAGATATGACTAATTTCAGAAGCCAAAATTTAGTTTTTCTTAATTCTTCCAAAAATCAGACTCTGCCAGATATTAAATTGGCCTTGCTATGTGAAGATAGTTTGTATTTAAGAAATATAAAAATACAACAAATAATGAAACCATAATGATTTAATGATCATCCATTTATTCAGTGTAACTCAATTATCTTTTCATTTTAAATTTGTATCTCTTCTACCTCAAGGGTGATACAGTTTGGCAGGCAAGCAAGCAATAGCAGAAAAATATATAAGAACACAAGTTAAAAAGTAGCCAAAGGCATAAGAGCTAAGGCAAAAAGGATTAGCTAGATCCCATATACAGAACACACTTCAAAGGCTAGGGATGTAGCAGCTGAGTGGTAGAGCTTAATGATAAAAGAGGACAAACTGAGGTGAGAGGAAAAAAAATTGGTTTACAACATGAAAAAGGAAGGCTGGGCCTGCTGCTCACCTGTGGTCCCAGCTACTTGGAGGAAGAGACAGGAGGATCACAGATGGAAGCTAGCTCAGGCAAAGTTAGTTGGAGACCTTATCTAGAAAACTAAACTAAAGCACAAAGGGGTGAGGGGTAGGGACCTCAAGTGACAGAACATTGACTAGTAAGCAAGATGCCTTTAGTCTAATCCATCCTCAGTGGTGCCCAAGAAGGTTGGGGAGATTTGGAAATGATGGCTGCACAACTCTGGAACTATACTGAAAATTGCTGAATTGTATGGTTAAGTGAATTAAACCTCAATAAAATTATTACCAAAAAGGAGGGAGTAAAAGTGCAGAAGGAAAACAGAAATAGGGGAGAAAAAAAAAACATAAATGGAAGAGCTGGATGGAAGAACTAGTCTTTCACAAATATTGAAATCTATTAAAATCTAAAAATTCAGTTTTCTTTACATCAGATAACAGGAAGCCCAGTCAGATCTTTACTTGTTTGGCAGCCATGACCTGTTCAGAAATAAAATTAGATTTCATAGGATCTTTTCTCTTCTTTTTTTTTTTGACATTTTTTTTTGGTTGGTCATGCGACTTGAACTCTGGGCCTGGGTGCTATCGCTGAGCTCCTCAGCTCAAGGCCAGTGCTCTAACACTTGAGCCACAGTGCCACTTCTAATTTTCTTGTGGTTAATTGGAGATAGAGTCTCTCAGACTTTCCTGCCCAGGCTGGCTTTGAACCATGATCCTCAGGTCTCAGCCTCCTAAGTAGCTAGGATTACAGACATGAGCCATGGGCACACAGCTGGATCTTTCTTCTTTACTTAGACTGAACAGTCATGATCAGCTGAAGAAATATTACAATGTTTGATGTAATGTACTACTTCCTCCTCTGAAAGGGCAATGTTACAAGGTAAATATACTATATTACTTTCCTAAACCACCCCCCCCATTAAAAAAAAAATCCAAATCACGTTGATTATAAGGATCTTAGTGTAGAATTAAGGACCTGAAGTAGTACATCTGAGACAAGGAAAAAAAAAAAAAGACAATGAAAGAACAAGATAAAACTGATGACGGAGCCCAAAATGGGGAGATGAAGGAGAAAGGGCAAAGCAGAGAAGAGGCCTAGCTAAAAATCGTGGGGGGTTATTACCCTCAATGTTTCCTAGACCCACAATAGCATTAAATAAAACAAGATGGAGGAATTCACGTTAAGAAAAGTAACATTTAACAAAGCATGTCTGATAAATTTTAACAAGGTAAGACTCCTCAAAAACCTTTAAGTCAATGTTCCTCTTGAGAAAATAAAAAGCAGTAGTTCCTAGTAACAAGTAATGTCAACAAGCAAAGGCTAGGAAAGAAACTGGCCACATAAAGGAAGGTAACTAAAAGAAAAAAATTATGAAGATTCAAAAAAGAATTTTGAGTGCCTTACTTTTCTAATTCTTCAGGATCAAATTTCCACCAAGTTTCAGGTTCATGAAACTCTACTCTGTATCCTTTTCCTATGGCCTACATAAAGAAAAGGAAAAAAAAAAACAAAACCCATAGAACAGTTCTTAAAAGTAAAAAGAAGGCAGATAAATATAAGTTTAACTTAAACAACACTTCTAAGTTTGCTCAATCAAGAATAATGCTATATTGTAAAATACTGTGTTTTGGGAAAAAATATTAAGACTACTGAACTGAACAAATTCCAATTACTATTCAAGACAAAAAACAAGTATATGTATATTTCATCATAAGCACCTTTTCCAATGTAAAAAAAAAAAAAGAAAATCAACAAACTTCTTAGAAAACAAGGACAAATGTTTTAAAAATAAAGATCAATCAAATAGCTCACATCTATAGTCCTAGCTACTCAGAAAGGCTAAGATCTAAGGATCACAACTAGAAGCTAGCTGGGGCAGAAAAATTCGTATCTTCAGTTAACCAGCAAAAAGCCAGAAGTGGTGCTGTGGTTCAAGTGGTAAAACAGCCTTGAACAGAAAAAGCTAAGGGACGGTGTCCCAGCTCTGAGTTGAAACTAGTAAAAAAAAAAAAAAAATAAAGAACCAAAAATTTACAATAAGAAACTCACAAGACCAAAAAATAAAAAATCCCACATCTCATATTTACCATTTCCACATATGGTTTCATTTCCCAAGCTTGTGTATTAGTGTTGTCTATTATAACTGGCGATCTTCCCTGATCAATAGCTTGTTTTGCTGAAATAGAAAATATATTACAAACAAAAACAACAAAAAATTAGGCTGAAATATACAAAATAAAATTTAAATATTTACTATTAAGAAATGTGTCACATCTCATATTTAAAACTAAAACTGTACAATCTCTTGAGTAAATGTCCTGGTAAATATGGGCTCTACTAGATTAAGAGGGAATTAAGCGGCTTAACCATATTAGGTATATTCCCTGGGCTGAGTATTGGTTTGATAAATTGGCTATAAGACACCTTAAGAATATTTGGTTGACCTTAGAGCTAATGGCACTTCTAGACCAAAGTTTCATTTGTAGAAATTAAAGTGATAAAGGAACAAATTACAATTTAATCCAGACCAAATACAAAAGTAGAAATGTATTGATCTAAAAAGTCAGAGATTATTAAATGAAAGGGCAATAATTAAAATACAGAAACACAATAGTTAAATATGTTAGGTTAAAACACAGAGCTGAGGAGCTGGGAATGTGGTTTAGTGGTAGAGTGCTTGCCTAGCATGCATGAACCCCTGGGTTCAATCCCTCAGTACCACATCAACAGAAAAAAAGCTATGGCTTCAGTGGTATCATGTTAGCCTTGAGCAAAAAAAGTTCAGGGGCAGTGCCCAGGCCCTGAGTTCAAGCTTCCCCCCACCCCACACACAAACAGAGCTGAGAAAATGGTTTACTAAGAAAAATGCAAATGGTGGTGCAAGTATTTAATTATCTACAAGTGATGTTTTTTAATTAACAAAGGCTTGTGGTTACAAACAAACAAAAAACCCTTATTACTTAGAAGAAGTTGTTTATAATACCAGATAACACAATACCACAGTTCAACTGATCTAGTTTTCTTAAAACTATGATGCTCTTTGGGGCTGGGAAGATAGCTCAGCGGTAAAGTGCATGCCTTGCAAGCATGAGACCCTGGGTTCGATTCTTCAGCACCACATAAACAGAAAAAGCCGGAAGTGGCACTGTGGCACTAGCCTTGAGCTGAAGAGCTGAGGGACAGGGCCCAGACCCAGAGTTCAGGCCCCATGACCGGCAAAAAAAAAAACAACTATGATGCTCACTTGGGGAGTTAATGTAAGGTAGCAAGTGGTTCAAAGCCTGTCATCTTATCTACTGAGGAAGCTGGGATCACAAATCCTGAGGATTGGTTTGAAGCCAGCCCAAGCAGAAAAGTCCCCTTGAGATTCTTATCTCCAGTAAACTACTCAAAAATGCAGAAATGGCACTGTGGCTCAGGTAGAGTGCTAGCTTGGAGCACAAACTCAGGGACAGTGCCTAGGCCTTGAGTTCAAGCACTGCAGCCAACAGGGGGAAAAAAATATGATTAAGGCCGGGCGCTGGTGGCTCACGCCTGTAATCCTAGCTACTCAGGAGGCTGAGATCTGAGGATCGAGGTTCAAAGCCAACCCGGGCAGGAGAGACCGTGAGACTCCTATCTCCAATAAAAACCCACCAGAAAACCGGAAGTGGCGCTGTAGCTCAAGTGGTAGAGCGCTCGCCTTGAGCTGAAGAGCTGAGGGACAGCGCCCAGGCCCACAGTTCAAGTCCCACAACCGACAAAAAAAAAAAAAAAATGATTAAGTAAGGTTAATTTCAAATCCATAAAATGTAATTTTCAGAATTTTTCTTTTCTGAGACAAGGGTCAGGGTGTCAAGGGGGTATATATTGTCACCAGATGCTGATAGCTCAGCTCACTCCTGTAATCCTAGCTACTCAAGAGGTTGAAATCTAAGGATCACAGTTCAAAGCTAGCCCAGACAAGAAAGTCAGTGAGAATGACAGAGACTCATCTCCAATTAACCACACACACAAAAACAAAACAAAACAAAAACAAACAAAGCTGGAAGTGGAGCTGTGGCTCATGTTATAAAGTGCTATCATAAGAGCAAAAAAAAAAAGCTCAGGGCCAGTGCCCACGGCCTGAATTCAAGTCCCAGGCCCAGCACAAAACAATAGTAACTTAGTATTATGTATTTACATACGTAGCTGAAAATCAATATAATTCCAACCACATTTTAGAATAATCTGGAGGAATTAAAAAATGTTTATGCCTCATTACAGACCTATAATCTATAATCTCTGAGTCTGAGGCTCAGGGATATATTTTTTTAAAAATAAGAGGGTGAATAATATTGAAACACATTGCAACTATACATTCAAAAAAAAAAATCAGTAAAAGCTGTTGATCAACCAGGAGTGCTGAATAATGAAGAAAGAGAAACAGGCCCTGTTGGAGGTGGTGAGCATTGCCAGCAAGAGGGAGTTAAACTAACAAAGAAGGTAAATGAGTATGAATATGGTCAAAGTTGTTTCCAATAATGGAACAATGAAACCCATTGGAGAGAGGGAGTGGAGGGAGACTAACTGAAATATACTATATACATGAGTAGAAATGTCACATGAACCATGAACTCCCTACTGTGTAACTAATATATGCTTATTATTCCCATTATCCTTGCCACTCAAGATGCCAGGATCTGAGACGCACAGTTCAAAATAAGTATAAAAAGGAAAGTCTGTGAGACTCTTACCTTCAATTAACCCACAAAAAAGTTGGAGACCTGTTACTCAAGTAGTAGAATGCTGGCCTTAAGCAAAAAAGCTCAAGCTCAGGACCCTCAAACAAACAAAACAAAAACTAAAGAATTCCCAAAATTATAAATTTTGGAGAGGTAAATATAATATTCTATAGAATCTTAATTTTAATTCAAAGTTACTGTGGTTTCATTTCTATGATAATGTTTTCTTTCTCTTTTTTCATTATCTATAATTAATTGGACAAAGAAGTTTCAATTCAACCTATCAATTTGTGTATAATGTACCTTGATCAACAATATCCCTTTCATTATCCTTACTGCCCTCCATCTATCCCAACATAATCTTGTTTCTCTTTTAGGAATATTCCTGTGTATGTTAGACTTAGTAAGGTTTACCTACAGAAATTAATACTTGAATGTCCAATTTGCAATTGCAGTGTATGCATAATGGATATCCATGTAAGTAAATTTAATATAAAAAAGTCCCCAAGTAACTGACCACCACAATCAAGACTGCTGTTCATGATGAAAAGAAACTGACCCACATATTCTAAAAACAAATGTATTACATAGGTTTTCTTACAGCACACCATCAATGATAAAAACTTCCAATATTAACAGTATTATACTGAGATGTGAAATACACTGGCATTATTTTTAGGGGAAATAACTTTTATAACATGTGACAATAGTATCGGTTATTTATTCATGATATAAAACTCATTAAAATATGACATACTGCTATTCTTTTATCAGCTATTATTAGTAAAACATTTATAATTCAAAACATATTTTAGGTAAATTCTACAATTTTCACAACAAATTTGATCCAGTAGGGCAAATATAATTTATCATCATTTCTTGCAAAGAATTTGGGACTCCAAGTTACTGAAATAGTTTGTAAACATCATTCAGCTGATAAAAATATAAGTCAGAATAAACCTTATGTCTTGTGACTGTTAGCCAAATATTCTATCTCAAGAGATTTGGCCTAAAACACACCTCTGTTCTGGTTCCAGTCATGGGCATCACCAAGTTGATTAACATTATACCTGTACCCATCTTGATGGCGAAAATAGTCATCAGTGCTGAATACAATGCCATCACGGCTCTGACCAAGTAGAATTCTGTTAATAAAAGAAATCATAAGGTGCTATTTGTAAAATGTATAACCATGAGAAATAGACCATACAGAAAGTTATTGTCTGCTATTCATTCTTAAGATATATTGCAAACAGAATTACACAGGAGCTAAACAATGTTAAAAAGCTTTCAGATTTCAACAATCATTTCTTACATAAATCTTCACAATTAGAGCCACTATAAAAAGCTTTTAAAACAACATTTATATTACAACATTTTAAAACACACCGTATCCACTATCTAAATAATGTCAAGTAGTGTCCATGTTTTTGGTTTTGGGTTCCCCCCCTCCTCTAGTCCTGGAGTTTGAACTCAAGGCCTGGGTACTGTCCCTGAGCTTCTTTTTGCTCAAGGATAGCATTCTACCACTTGGCAACAGTACCACTTCTGGCCTTTTTTGTTTACGTGGTACTGAGGCACTGAACCCAAGGCTTTATGCATGTTAGGGAAGCACTCTACCGCTAAGCCACATTCCCAGCCAGTATCCTATGTTTTAATCTTAGTGTACTTATATTTGGTACCTAAAATTGCCTCAAATTTGATACAAAAGGAAATTAAGATTAAGCAGCATAGCCCATCTAGGAAAGACCATATTTGACCATGTCTGCTCTTGAGATGGCTTTAAAAAAAGATGTTAATACCATTATCTATACCTATAGTAACATATTTACATCCAAGAAATGGTTTAAATTCACCAACCTTTTTTTTTTTTAATTAAGGGGCAAGAGCAGTAAACTTTATCACTAAATCAGGTCAACATTAAATCTGGGCAAATTTGTATATAGATCAAATTCTTAAGTATATAAATCACAAGAGTTAAAGTTTAGCTTGAAGAGATTTATTTTCCTACCTGCCAGCATAGACTGTTAATGCATCTTTTTCAAGTTCCTGAATTATCTCAAACAATAAAAAAAAGAAATAAAATACAGCATCATCTCTATAATCCTACCTACTCAGAAAGCTGAAATCTAATGATCACAGTTCAAAGCCTGGTAGGGTAGGCTTTATAAAGAAGCTCTATAATTAATTGGCAAAGTGTTGTAGTGAAGGGATGACACTGACCAAAAAAAGAAATGTACTCATTACCTGACTTATGAAATGGTAACCCCTCTATACAATACCTTAATAGTAATAACAATAAAATTATATTTAAAAATTGCTGGCTGGAAATGTGGCTTAGTGGTAGAGTGCTTGCCTAGCATGGATGAAGCCCTGGGTTCAATGCCTCAGTAGCACATAAACAGAAAAAGCCACAAGTGGCACTGTGGTTCAAGAGGTGGAGTGCTATCCCTTGAGCAAAGCAGCTCAGGGATAGTGCCCAGGCCCTTAGTTCAAGCCCCAGGACCGACAAAAAACAAAAAAACAGCACACAAAAAATGTTGTACGGGTGGCATTGCTCAAGTGGTAGAGGCATTGCTCGAGTAGCAAGCCATCCAAGTAAGAGTGGGAAGGAGGCCCTGAATTCAATCCTTAGTACCAATACAAGAAAACAACAACAAAAACCCACTTCTGTCTTAAACTCTGGTTTGTCTGCTTTCTCACTTAAAAAAAAAAAACAGTTGCAGCCGGGTGAGGGTGGCTCACACCTATAATCCTAGCTATTCAGGAGGCTGAGATCTGAGGATCATGGTTCAAAGCCAGCCGGGCAAGAAAGTCAGTAAGACTCTAATCTCCAATAACCACTAGAAAACCAAAAGTGGCACTGTGGTTCAAGTGGTAGAGCGCTTGTCTTGAGCTGAAGAGATCAGGGACAGTGCCCAGGCCTACAGTTCAAGACCTATGACTGACAGAAAACAAAAAAACAACAACCAGTTTCATTTGAATGAAGAGTGGTCTAAATAGCCAAGAAATGAGGGAAACTTCCAGCCTAAACCAAGTAAGGAACTGAGGTCCTCAACCCAAGTTCACAAATAACAGTCCTATCAACAACCTGTGAGTTCTTGGAATCATATCATCCTCAAGTTAAGCCATCTTCAAATTAGACAACACATGACCAAAGCTTTAAACTGTTAGAACCCTGAATCAAAGGCATTCAGCAGACTATACCCAAATTTCTGATCTACAGAAACTGCACAATAAATGTTGCAATCATGAATTACTAAAATACTCTGTCCTTATCATTTCTCACTCAAGGAACACTGCTCTTCAAAAGAGGGGGCTGGTAGCCGGGCGCTGGTGGCTCACGCCTGTAATCCTAGCTACTCAGGAGGCTGAGATCTGAGGATCGAGGTTCAAAGCCAGCCCGGGCAGGAGAGACCGTGAGACTCCTATCTCCAATAAACCACCAGAAAACCGGAAGTGGCGCTGTAGCTCAAGTGGTAGAGCACTGGCCTTGAGCTGAAGAGCTCAGGGACAGCGCCCAGGCCCAGAGTTCAAGCCCCACGACCGACAAAAAAAAAAAAAAGAGGGGGCTGGGAAGGTGGCTCAGTGATAGAGTGCTTGCTTTTCATGCATGAGGCCCTTGGTTTTCCATTCCTCAGCACCACATAAGTAGAAAAAGCCGGAAGTGGGTCTGAGGCTCAAGTGGTAGAGTCCTAGTCTACAGCTGAAGAGCTAAGGAAGGCCCAGAGTTCAGGCCCCACAACCGACAAAAAAAAAAAAAAAAGAGACCCACAAAAAGTTTACCTTTTTTTTTTTTTAACATCAATCCTGGGGCTTGTACTCAGGGCCTGGGCACTATCACTGGGCTTTTTTGCTCAAGGCTAGCACTCTACACTTGAGTCATGGCTCCACTTCCAAATTTTGGTGGTTAATTAAAGTTTCTCATAGACTTTACTGCCTAGGCTGGCTTTGAATGGAGAGCCCTGAATCTCAGCTTTCTGAGTAGCAAGGACTACAGGTGTGAGCCATTGGTACCTGACTTATAATTTATTTTTAAAATTTCTTTTGTTGTTGTTTTTTTTCTGCCAGTCCTGAGGCTTGAACTCAGAACCTGGGCACTGTCTCCGAGCTTCTTTTGATCAAGGCTAGCATTCTACCATTTGAACCACAACACCACTTCCAACTTTTTCTGTTTATGTGGTAACTGAGGAATCGAACCCAGTGCTTCTTGCATGCTAGGCAAGCACTCTAACATTAAGCCACATTCCCAGCTCTATTTTTAAAATTTCTAAGAGCTGCACAGTGTGTTTTTAACACATCCATGTGCATCTGAAGTGATTTCTAAAGACAAAAATATCTAAGTAAAAGACACTTTATGAAATCTTTACCTCATTTACTACTACATAGTTTTGCTTTGTTCCTATTTCAAGACCAAGCCTAAGTCTGTCTAAGACTTTGCCCAGGCATTTGACCCTCCTTGAAATAGGACTGGATCTAACTAGGGTAAATATTTCTTAGCATGTTAAATTAGATGTCTTGTTTCCAATCGAGAGAGCGAGAGTGAGAGAGAATCTATCTCTTTAACTGTAAGTCATAGTTCCTATGACTGCTGTGATAACTGCCAAAACTTGGTGGCATAAAACAATAAGGAATTTATCTTATGGTTTTAAAGGTCAGTAGTACAAAACCCACTAAACTAAGAAGGTATAGGTAGCCCAGTGTTCCTTCTTGAAGCTCTAGAAAAGTTTTTCTTGTGTTTCCTAGTTTCTAACTGTGAGCAGCAAAACTTAGCTTGTAGCCTCTTTGACCATAAGTACAACGCAGGTAATCTAGAATCTCCTCTCCTCTCTGACCTCTGCTTCTACCCTTCCGTCACTTTTTGATTCTGATCTTCCTGTCTCCCTCACATAAACCTTTGTGATTACATGACCTCATTAGATAATCCAGGATAATCACTCTATCTGAAAATGCTTAATCACACCTTCAAAGTCTTTCTTCCTTCAACATTTTTTGTTAGCACATACTACTTTAACAAAGGGGGTTTCATGACATTTCTACACATGTATACAATCAACCTTACCCTTTCTCTCACCCTTCCTTACCCCCTCCATGCTTCTTAAAAAAAAAAAATTCAATGGATTCATTGTTCTGTTTTCATACATGCAAAAAACCTACTTTGATACAACAGGGTTTTTTGTTTGTTTGTTTGTTTTTTTGGTCCGGTCGTGGGGCCTGAACTCTGGGCCTGGGCGCTGTCCCTCAGCTCTTCAGCTCAAGGCTAGCGCTCTACCACTTGAGCCACAGTGCCACTTCCGGCTTTTTTCTACTTGCTAATGTGGTGCTGAGGAATCGAACCCAGGGCCTTAAGCATGCAAGGCAAGCGCTCTACCACTGAGCCACCTTCCCAGCTCCCATACAACAGAGTTTTAAGGATTAGGTCATAGACATCTTTGGGGAATATTATTTACTCTAACACAAAAATAACTGCAGGGGCTGGGAAAGGTGGCTCAGTGGTAGAGCGCTTGCCTTGCATGCCCGAGGCCCTGGGTTCAATTTCTCAGCACCACATAAGCAAAAAAAAAAAAAAAAAAGCCAGAAGTGGCGCTGTGGCTCAAGTGGTAGAGCGCTAGCCTTGAACTGAAGAGCTGAGGGACAGCGCCCAGGCCCAGAGTTCAGGCCCCACAACTGGACCCAAAAACAAACAAACAAAAAAAAACTGCAAAAGCCAAAAACAAAGAAATAATAAAGAAATAAGTTTTCTCAAGTTTTTTCACTTTATTTCTTAAATAATGACTCTTCTCACTGTTTTATCCAAATTCTCAACTTTTTTTAAGTTCATATTTTCTTCTACACAAAGTGGCTCATTTGGGAGGTAAAGATTAAGGAATCATTGTTGAAGGCCAGTCTGGGCATAAAAGTGAGATTCTCTCACTCAGTAGTTGAGCATAGTAGCATGTACACTATTTCCCCAGCTACTGAGGAAGCATGATGGCTGTGGGCAGTGGTGGATGCCTGTCATTTCCAGAGACATGGGGAAACATAAATAGGATTGCAGCTCAAGCCAGCTCAGGCATAAATCAACGAAGAACTCTAGCATGAAATAATTCATGCAGGGCTGGGAAGGTGGCTCAGTGGTAGACTGCTTGCCTTGCGTGCAT